TCAAATAGTGGGTTGGCAGCGATTCACCCATCGGTCCATTTTCGCACTTCTTTAACTTTGCGGTCCCGGTGCCAGCCAAGCCATGCTGTACCAATCTGAACAAGTGGTAATCAGCATCATATCTGCTATGTACGCTGGATATGGCAGAGCTTTTCTTTCGAGCCGCAATCATGTATCCTGGGGAACTTTTGCAAGAAGTAGCCAAAAAAATGGCACTTTCGGTTAGTTCGTGTCTCGACTTTTAAATCTTTGAACCAGATACCATCAATTATGATATGATGGAGCAGCATCACAATAGGCCTTTTGCAGATTACTTCAAATAATCAATAAATAAGTAATGAATTTGGAAGAAGAAGAATATTGAGTGCTCCATATTTTACGTAGAGGAAGATCAAAACCATCGAGTTCAATAGCATTTCCCATTTCTTCGTCATTTTTACTTGTAAAAGTAGCGAAAACAACTGTACCTGATCTTGTTGTGTTCCCGCTAAGTTCAATTGTTTGAAGAAAACGTGGTGGCTGTAGTTGGTTAAAATCGCGCTACGACCTTGTGCTCGTTGCATAGCAACCGGGTGTCTGACCCAAAGAAAGACAGAGGTTTTAGATAGTGTCTCCCCCATCTACGCTATCTCCACTGGAACTCGAGATTTTCCTCGGGGCGTTCAGTGTACGTTTCAACACTCCGTGTGCCATTGGCCACCGTGGGGTTATGCCCACAGGTAAAAGAGAAATTGCATCGATAGGAAGAAGCCATTTTTGTATATATAATCTATCATAGACGGATGGAGACTATTTGATTGCTCGTGCATAAAAATACTATGAAACGTGAGTTGAGCGAATATAAAAGTCAATCGCGAAAATGTTACTGTGCAACACAAATGTCGCAGAGTCACATGTGTGAACTTTGACTTTTCTCTGCTTTTTTTTTGGGGGGTTGTTGTTAAACGTTTAAAATACGTTAAGTTGTTCTTTTGAACATTTGTTCTGAATAAGTTTTGCTCGTATGGGCCAAGTTTGGCGTTCATTTGTCTGTTGAGAACAAAGAAGAAGAAGAAGAAGAGGAAGTTTTTCTTTTCAAATTCGTTCAAAAAAAAAGTCTTCTTTTTTTGTTTTTTTAGAAATCATTTTAATGTGATCGGTTAGAAAATTCGACACACACAAACACACCTCCTGATATTATTCGCAATAATATACAGAAATTAATAAAATTTTTAGTTTTCGATATATAGTTTTTGTAACAACAATTCTGCGATATGTCTTCTTTGTGTTGATTTGCTGAGCTATTAAGCGCCTACAGTGGTTTTATTTTATTCATAATTTCATATATTAATGTGTGAACGGAGGCGTTCAACCAGTTGCAGTTTTAAGATTTTTTTTCACCAAAGCGCATATTTGCTATTGTAATTAACTTGAGTAAACTATTAATTTTGTTGTTGTTGTTGTATTTGTATATTATACATAGTTTTACAAAAACTTAATTCTTTTTATAACGTTCTAAACCGGCTGCTAAGATAGTTGTTTTCATATATATTTTCTATTTTAAATATTTTTTATTCATATTTTTATTTTTTTATTTTATACTTATCGCTGAAGGATGGGGATTAATTCATTTTGTTAGGACATTTGCAATATCCATAAGGAATCTTCCCAGACTCGATATATGTTTAAGAGAAATATTAAATTCTGATTCAATGTAAGCTCCCACATATTAAGATATCGGGTCTACATTTTATAAAAATATTACAAGTTCCGGTTTGTCAAACGAATCAAATCCATCAATGGATACTGTCACAGTCAAAGTGTCAAAAATCAGAACACTTTTGTTTTCATAGTTAAAATAAAAAAAAGTGTGTTTTTTCCTCCTTAAAACAAAAAACTTTCGTCTATGTTCCTTATGGATCCTTACGGTACTTGTAAAAGAATGGAATAAAGTGGCCCTATCCAACCACCATTAAAGAATATCAAAATTTCATTTTTTGCTTTTTAACTTTTTTTAGTTTTTCTTTTAAGAAAAAAAAAAAAAAAAAAAATATTGGGTGCAAAAGACCCGGCCATAGCTCAATATAATTCTTCTCTTATCAATTTACGCTCATAATACACGTATAACATATGATTTGTGTTAATTTGATATCGAGTTAGTTTAGCAATTAAGCAGCAACTAAAAGACTAATACCTGGGCATGTTATGTTAAAAAATACTGGGAAAAAAAACCATAGTATTGATTATGAATGTTTCAGTTCAATTTTACAGTTTTCAATGAAATTTTGTACGCTATGGTATGTATATTGGCTTTTGCAAAACGTTTGCAACGCCTGGAGCGAAACTTCAGAGCCTCCATTCACTCTCGAATTGTCGAGCATGTTATTTGTGATTCTTTCTCACTTTCGATCATCCAGAAACAAAGAAAAACAACAATGCTTATACCGCAGGGAAAAATTTGCAGTTGCAAAATTTTCTAGTGACCTTTACTTACACGATTAGGCCGTCAAAAATATCCATAAGCAATTTTTTTCTGCTCGTATCATTTTGATGCCTTTTATTTGTCGGCTTGCCACAGGCATAATAACAAAGATCGCAAGCTGAAATTTATCGCAAAAACTCCCTCATTAGTTACGGTTGAGAATCCAATGTAAAAAAACTGTTTACGATCTACCTGCATACACCCCCTCCCAACATAAACGAGAAACTGGAGCAAACCTCGAAAAAAAAGAGAATTTTTTCCGTATTTTCGTCTATAAATTTCAATCGTCTAAAGATATTGCCGATACCTTTCTGATATCTGATACCTTTCATTTTTGATTCCAAATTTTTTCCAATCGGTCCATCACAGATACGTCCACCATTAATGATAAAACGTGATTTCCAACTTATACCTGATTGGATGAGGAGCTCGCGAATATGTATTTAAGTAAATTGGAAATAAACTAAAATTTTTAATTTTGAATCTTGGACGTGTTAGCGAATCAATTGGAACCGGTGAAGCGGTTTTTCGAGAACATGTGTTTCTTTGTAAATACGATATTAAAGATGAAAATATGGAAAACTTGTGTAGACAGATCACAACCGGTCAAGGAGTGTTTGTGCTAAATTTTACCATTCATTACCGAAGTACTACTACTTACCCACTTTTGCCGGAAAATTTTCAAAATAGCAAATTTTCCCTTATAACGATTTTTGAAAATCTGGCGTTACATGGGTGGAAAAATTCGATTATCTTCAATAACGTTCGTCCTTGGGTTAAAACACGTCGCAGTACCAAATTTCATCAAAGTAGTTCAAGAATTGCCATCTGTAGCTTGAACACATACACAACATGGACATCCATCAGACGGACAGACGAATGCATAGAATTGGATCTATTCAGATTATGATTCTGATTCGAATATGGTATAATGAATAGTGGGTGGGTCTATCTAAAGCCCTTCTGCCTGTAACATACAGCCGCATTAACTTAATGTATCCTGGATCACAAGTATAAAAGTCGTTCAAGTTCGTAAGCTCGTAATATGTGCAGCGTTGAGAGAGTCTATTTGAAACGTAATGTCTACCCTTCAGTTTGCTTTGTTTTAGATATTTTGGAGGTAATTGCTTCATTATTGCACTCGATGCCAACACAGTTTCTTTTTACATCAATATTGGTATCGATTGATATCTCGACAAATCAGTTACTATTTCGCTGCTAATGGATGAAAGTTCACAAGCCTCATTTTCGACTATCGCAAAAATCTAATCTAAAAACATAACCTTAATTGTCTTCACATTTCGAACATCCGCGATGCAATTGTGAACGAACAATTCTTATGGATAACAATTTTTCCATGAATTACTTCGCCTCGTGCACTCATGGACTTGCATTTTCCAGGCTATAAGAGTTTCATTTCCTTGATAAAAAATATATATTACCTCCCCATATGTACTAACAGCATTTTATATAATATTTATTTTAGAAAACTGTCATCGTTACTCTCTCAGTACTGCTGTACCTTCAATAATTACAATGCGGTTGCACCTATTGTTCCGCGATAAACGGTGTAATTTTGTTAATCAAAAGATTATTCCTCTCTCGGACAAATTTAGATGTTGGACGAGAATTTTTTGTTTATACTGTTACGGAAAACCCAAATCGATATATACCTATATCTATATCTATATAATAACTATTGGGGAAGGATAAGGGATATATTCATTTTGTCAAAACGTTTGCAACGCCCAGAAGATCGTTTCAGAGACGCGACAATCGTGATCAGCATCAAGTTCCGAATCGATTTGAACATGTCCGTCTGTCCGTTTGTATTATGTCTGTTTTACACATTCTCCTAGCGGCAAAAATGAAGCTATCAATTCGGCTGAAATATTGGAAGTTTCTTTACGCAAGTTGGTATCGAAAATGGGCCAAAGTAATCGAGGGAGACCCCCAATGCATTACGTAAACTGAAAATAAACGTCTGTTTTTCCGAAGGTATAACAAATTGGTTTTTTCCTCATTACTCATAAGCTACAACAGATAAATCTACAAAAATTATGGCTATAGTACTTCTGAAAAAAAAAAAATGGGAAAAATTGGCCACACCTACTCAATTCTATAGTGTGTCATAATGTTTTTTTTTTTTTTTTTTTAAAACCTTTATAACACACAGAAGCAACCTCCAAGAAATCCATAAAGTCTATAAATTAGATTAGTAACTAAGTGGGATTTCGATGCTGATAAATAGATGGAGAATAAACGAGCCGAGGCAACGAATGCGATGATAAAACAGGTACATCTGCAATGTCTGTAACGCAGCAAGTCAAAAAACAGAAGCGGATATCTTCACACCATACTTTAAGCAATCTGTTCGAAACTTTTATATAACCTAAAAGGTATAGCGCAGAAACATCATATTACTCAAGAATACTCAAGAGGCAAACATCTCCAGGATGATCTATACGAACGAGAGCAATAACAAAAGATAGTTTACTACGTGCTATGAATATAATGAACATACACACTATTTTCAAAATTCTTAGCCCTACAGCAAGCCGAACACATAAAAAAAAAAGAAAAGAAAAAAAAGAAAAGAAAAGGAAGTTAGGACTAAAGAGGACTCTTGAATATTTAATAGTTTATGTATCCATTAATTTTATGCATTCATTGCAATTAAATTGTAATCATTCTTCGTTTGATGTAAAAATTTCATTAAACATCTTTTATTTGCACTAATTTATCAACACAATAATAACAATTTTTGAAAATTTCTGTAATTACGATTTTCTGCTCGCGACAGATTGTTTAACAAATATTTCGTTATAGAATAAACAAATCTTTGCAATTATCGCTTCTCCTTAGTGATAATGATGAAAATCGTGATGATCGAAATGATGATGATGATGATGAAAAGGATCATAGTGTAGGGTTTTAATAATGGGAGCGGGATGATAAGTTTTTATAATTGGCAGAATTGTCTTAACCACTGGCAGTACAAATGGCTTTATTATCGGGGCGCTATGAATGACGGTAGAGCTTTGATGTGATATCGCCGCTGGTATGTGCACGTATTTCGCAATTGGCAACGATTCATGATGTATTAGTGGATAATCGAAATGATGATGGCCATGCAAAAAGCCTGGTCGTGCCGAACAGTTGTTCAGCAGAATTCCCACAAAAATCAAAGCAATCTAATAAATGAAAAATGAAGGAGAACAAGAACTTTCAAAGGCTTATTAGGCTTATTATTTACTACGAGTTTCTGCACCATATTTTATTCTTAGCAAAAAAAAAAAATAAATAATAAATAACACACACACACCAAAGGTATCGTTAGGCTTCCACTTGATTACTGATGGTTTCGGCTAACAGCAACAAGTCTTTTATATTTTTGCCTCATTTTTCTACCTTTCATGCAAAAGAAACAGAATTAAATTTAGGAAAACAAAAAAAAAACAATAGCGAAACAATGGAGAGCTGTGCAAGCAAGCATCTTTACTTCGTCTCACTTCACTTCACGCCTCGTCCAAATACTACTTCATTTGCATAAATACATATAACTTTTGCCACCGTTTTAGTTTTTGTTTAACAATCGAGCAATTACGATTTGATAGCAACAGTTGCAATAGTTCACATATACATATATACACTCATACATATACGCAATTATGCCTTAAAATCTTTGCAATTTGAAATTTGCTTACATTGCCTTTCCCCTCTCGCCTATATTTTGGTTTGCTTTATGCCACGTCGCTTTGACTTGTTGCTTGAATTCTAAGTGTCATCACAATTCAATTAAATTCACTTATTTGTAATAGCTTCACACACAACTAATCATTAGACTAAAGCATATACAACATTACATTGCCATGCTAAAGACAATATGCAAAATTATTTGTAAACAATTCTAGATTAGCGTTAGGCCATCGGGTCGATTTTCTTTGAATTTGGCCCACATTACTAATTACATATATATTATTGTTGCTGGCATATAATGGTTTGTATATAGATTTACATGCTATTTGATAGAAAATTTGTCGCCTTTTTTTTATTGATATTTTGTTTTGTTTTGTTGTTTCTGGGCGTTTTATAATAGTTGCATATATAGTTACATTCGTATTGTAGTAAATTGTGCAACAACGATTTCTATGCATAATAGTCCCGCAATTGTTTAACACGTCTTACAAACATAAAATACAGTTATAAATGACGAAGGAATAAAGAATATGTAAAATAAATGCTTGTTTGAGCTAAGTAAGCACAGCCAAGCAGTGTGCTCCCAAATAATCGAATTAAAAGTAGGAAAGAAAATATATTCAGTTGGGGCATTGCAGGGCGGGCTATGCGTAGCGCGATGAAGTACGGATCGGAGTCTCTATAAAGTGAATACAATGTTTAGCCCCGATTATCAACCGTTTGCCACGATTATCAGCTTAAAACAACTTTGCTCGAACGCTTGTTCTTATCATCCTTAATAGGTTATGTCGAAAACGCGACTACCCGCGAATAGCCATATATAAGGGAATTGCACTTGTTGCGTTAAGTTTATGCAATAAGATGCTGACAATTTGTGCAAATATGTGAGTCGATAGTGTACGATATACGATTTATATCGGCGGAAATGAATTTTCGCTGTACCTTGCGTTGGAATATTGTGTTTTTAGCTTGTGGTGGGTATTTAACTGTAGCCAATCAAGTCGAAATTGACTATGTGAATGGAAGCCGGAAATCTTGAAAGCTCACTTAAAGCAGACATGAAATATTTATGAAAATATGAAATGGTTTTCTACGATGATTTCTTACGTTTAATGACACATAGGATCGTTGCAGACCCATATCAGAAGCGGCAAATTAATTAGGACCATAAGTAGTGGAGGCAATGAGCCAGTGAGCGCATTTGGCGTCTATTGATTATTGTGATTTCAAGAATTCGTCCTTAACATTCGTTTGCCATTCTTTGCCCTTCACTTATTTCCATATCTAACATCATGATATTGTTATTATTATTGATATTATCGTTATCTTCTTTACTGTCTTTCGCTTTTAAAAAATGGCTAAATAAAGAATTACTTTAATGGAGACCATATGTATTATGTAAAATTTATTAAATTTTATTGTTGATTGCTTTCGACAAAGTGACTCATAGTCATAGGTTTACCATTCGGCAGGACTATAGTGTTACGGCCCCTTGCATTTGTCTATAGATTTTTGACTTTAGTTTCAATTTTTCGAATCCTTCTTTTACTTTTCATTTTATCTTCCGAATGCTTGTGGACGGTCTTTTCATTCTTTCAACTTTCCGTTACTTTACGTTCCGTTTATTTATTTTTGCTGAGCATTTTTTATTAGTCGTTTTGTCCCATTTTCACTTATTCTTCCTTTTATATTCACATCATGAAGAAATAGCCAGCAGAGATAATTGCATGGAAAAAAAATGGAACAATCGACGGAAGATGGAAGCTTTAGTCACCCCTCACTGTCATACAGAAGGGGCAGGAGTTATCTGGTTTTGAATAGTTAAGTAGCTTATCGTAGCTTATCGTAGTTAAGCAGCTTTTTTATGTTTATAGCTCGTTCATGAAAGACGTACGGACAGAACACTTTATTCTGAGCTCAATCAGTGATATATCGCTAACCATATGGCTCTGCCAAGCGATTGTTATCTGTTTATGCTTTTTTACTTTACACTGACGTTTAAGCATAAATGTGGAGATAGACAAATAGCATAAGGTACTTGAGCTCTACATTGCATTATAAGAGCAGCAGAGTATAACAAATTTCATATCTTAAACTTAATTTCTTTAATTTTTTAACCCAACACTCTTGCATTAAAGATAAATGATTTATTTATTTATAATTTCATTAGATTGAAACATATTAGTGTTATTATTAATTAAGACAGAAAAATAAATTCCAAGATGAAAGTCTTAAAGTACTAGCATCGGTTTTATTAAAAACTCTACCGCACTTGGGATTCGAACCCGCGATCATTGACTTCCTATACACTTCAAAGGATCATTTCTGTCATCAGTCCTCGTTTATTGCCATCTCATGGATGCAACATAAACGATCACTAACATGTTAGAATAGAGATAAATATTATTATATTAAAATAAAATATTAATAATTTATCTTCAATTTAATAGATTTTTTAAAGCTATCTCACAAGTTAATAAAACTGTTTTAGCTCAATCTTGATATTGAAGAGTTTGAAGAGTTGTCTCACTCTTGCTTCGAAATAAGAAATTCGATACAAAATGATCGGGACGACTGACAACATACAGATATGGCGACAAAAGAAAATTCAAAAAGTATTCTCAAGCTTGAGCTACACGAGATTTATTGCTTTACGTAACTTTTATATTCTGCTCCTTTTAAGATGACCGCAATAAATCGATTAAATTTATTTAGTGGAGTAGTAGTAGTAGTAGTAGTATACAATAATTACGCTTCTCGGACAAGAAGCTCAGTCAGTCAACGCATCAACGGAAAATCCAAAAAAAAAACCCTATCAAGAGAAATATTTTTTTTGTATGGATGCTTCACTTGCCAAATCGATTAACTCCATAAAACAAAAAAAAAAGTTGAGAAAAATGCTAAAATATTATATAATAAATTATTTATTATTATTCAGTGGCCGAAACGATTTTATCATTTAGTGGTGTTAATACTTATTATTAAAGAAATTCGCTTTGCATATGTACAGTTAGGAGCTAATGAAGTGCTTTGATCATAAAATTGAATAAAATTTCAAAAATTGAGTAAATCGTTTTGGCATCCATATTATGCATCCATATAGCGTGTAGTAGTATGTAATATGTACGTTTAGCAATTGACATGAAAAAAGAAAAAAGTGGTTATAAAACCGTAAGGTTTTAATTTAATTTTATTATAAAAACAAAATAATAACAATAACGACATTAACAGTTACAATAACATTTAACAAATTGAACGGAAAGTATTATTTAATGAAACGTTTTTAAATGAAGCTGACTTATAAAGTAATTGATCATTGATACAAGACTTGTCATGATTTTCAAGTAGATCTACATGTTTTACTAACTAACAAACGCTGCCATGAAAAACAGATAAAATAATAAAATCTTTATGTGCTAGAAGACACAAATACACATAGATACACATACACACACACACACACACACACACACACACATACATACATACATACATACATACATTCACATTAGCATAACATAATAAGATATTAGATACCGAGCATTAAAGTTTCATTTTAAACTGCGAAGAAAATGTTTGTTTTATTTTTATTAACTTTTGCTGTTGCTTGCTTTTAATGTTACAGCATTGAAGTGACCTTCATTGCAGACGTAATCGTATGAAATGAAACAAAACAACACTTGCAGATCTTTTTTTTTTTATATTTTTTCTTCTTCATTGTTTGCATGTATGGTTGTTGGTTATTTATTTATATATTATCTTAACTTTGTGTCTTTTTTTTTTTTTTTGTATTTTTAACTAACATTGGCCGTTGATCTCCGAGAGAATGCCAGAAATTACAATGGAAGTAATGCTGCAAATTGTTGAAACATTTTTATAATGGCATGGAAATTTTCCAAAAACAAACAAGCAAACAACAACAACGGAAGTCGATATTTATCATTCTTGTGCTAAACAAAAAAAAAAAAAAAGAAGTGTTTTATGGTGTTTGCGTATAATTCGTAAAATTGTGAAAAAACATTTTTAAAGAATTTTTCATAATAGTTTTGCTTCGCGTCGATCGTAAAGCCTGCTAGAGTTTCTTTCACAGTCACTAACATACGTATCTCCAATCTTGACTAACTAACAGTACAAGAAATATTCAACTATCGCTACCAATTGTGAGAATAATTTCTGTCAAGAACTTTCTTTGCAATTTTAGTTATAAAAAATTTCTTCTCTTCTTTCATTTGCAACTAAAAATATTCCCATTTTTATATATGACGCATAATTGCTACATACCTTAAAGACTTTAGGTATGACGGAGCGTCCGTTAACAGCAAAACATATACAAAATGAAATGAATAAATTTCCAAATAATGCGATAAGTAAATAAAGGCATAAATTTACCAAAACCTTTTTAAAGCTAAACAAAAACAAAAAACTACAACAAGATGTTGTTGTTATTATTTTAAGTTTGGCGAAACGCCAATTAGTCAGTTCAATATTTTCATAAGGGGAGAGTTTACATTTTGTGTTGTGGTTGTGTGTGAAGTTTATTAATCCTATTGTGGAGCGACTTGAAGCAATCAATTTATGACGTAATGGAAGATTCATTATATTGACTGGAAGACTCATATATCGCTTGTAGTGTAGGGTATATTAAGATTAAAAAGGGCTTAAGGTAGATCCACATTTTATTATGCCTAACTGTCCTGTCCGTCTGTTGCCTATCTACGTAAACTTGCGTTCACATATATGTATTCGAAAAGTGGTTA